AAGGGCATGGAGAGAGATTCGGAGAGTGTAGGATAGGCATTATATCTGTGATTTTATTAGTACAAGGAACTCCCCAAATAGGACACTATGTCTATCAAAGCAGGTTGACACCTTCACTGAAGCTTTATTTTTAGTCTTAGAAAGTTGCCCAGAGCATTGAGAGGTTAAATGACTTCTCCAGGGTCATACATCTAGAATACATCAGAGGTAAAACTTGAATCCTAGGTCTTCCTGGCATCGAGGCCAGTTGACTGCTGTGTTACGATGTTGAGTGGGGTGGGGACTTGTATAAGGACATAGCAAAGCTGGACGAGGGAGACCATTACCCCTGTACTCAAGGAGGGTGAAACCCGGTCCTCAAAACTGGTGGAAATAGCAAGCAGGAATGGTTAAAGTAAATTTTTCTTTTATTCCCATCCCACTCAATTCCTCTCAGGTCTGTGATGCTAAAATAAGGATGGGAGAGAATGTCCTTTTGCATCCTTGGCATTAGCCCCAGGATACCAGACCACCAAATACCAGGCCATGGCTGATCCTTTTCTCTCCCGATAGGAAGAGATAAAGAGGGAAGATTCCATCCTACACACACATCCCACCCCCATCCTTCTCTTCTCTCGCTGTAATAATCCACCCACCCCCAACCAGGCTTGAGCCTCAAGCACTGCCCCTATTCCCACTATTCTAATGACTTCGCTATTTCTCTTCCTAGGGGTGACAGTGTGGGAATTGATGACCTTCGGGGCCAAACCATATGAGGGGATTCCTGCCCGAGAGATTCCTGACTTGCTGGAGAAGGGGGACCGACTGCCACAGCCCCCTGTCTGCACCATTGATGTCTACATGATCATGGTCAAATGTAGGAGACTAGACCATAATTCTAATCATAATAATGCGTTACTCACATTCATAGAGAACTTGGCACTTAATGAAGCCTTTTCTTCCGGATATTCCTGTGAGCTAAAGAGTGTAGGTATTATTATCCTCAGTTTACAGATAAGGAAACTGAGGCTCAGAAAAGCTAACAGGGTCACATGGCTGGTAATCATGAGAACCAGGATTGGAATTAGGATTTTTGGAAGGTGCTCTTTAAGATGTACTGAAAAAAAGGGAGCTGCCCAAGGACATATCCAGAGCAGCTTCTGTGGTTTCATTTCTGCTTTAGTTTCTTCATCAGAAAAAGGTGGACTATAATGGCATCCCCCCAGGCTTATTGCGCAGATCAAATGAGAGATTTTATATCCTAAAAAAATTATTTTGAGCTGGAAGGGACCTTTGGGGATCATCCAATCAAAGGCCCCTCAATTTATGGATGAGCAAAGTAAGGCCTAGAGACTTCCCCCAAGTCAGACAGCCAGTGAGTAACAGAGCTAGGGTTTGACCTCAAGACACAGAGGGGCCTGAATGCAAGTCAGAGGAAGGCCTGGCCCAAAGGGCAGCTCAAACGCTGTGGTGGGCTTGCTCTCTCCCTGATGAGCCATGGACTCCTCTGGTTACTGAGGAGGCCCCTTTTGTTTCTCTATGCCAGGTTGGATGATTGACTCTGAGTGTCGGCCTCGGTTTCGGGAGCTAGTTACTGAATTCTCACGAATGGCCCGAGACCCTCAGCGCTTTGTGGTCATCCAGGTACAAGGACACCAAATCGCACCCAAGCTGTATCCCACCCCTCTGTCCATACAGGAAAGGGCGCAAAACGGAATAGCAGAACTCCTGAGCCCCACCCTCACCCCCCCAGGATTTTCCTTAATACTTGTCCCAACCTTCCATTTCTCCTCCCCAATCCTTCATCCTACAGCCAGCATTTCCTCCATAAAACTCTGTGGTGTCATCTCCCTTGCCTTGGGTTTTCTGACCTGTCTCCCAATGAAATCTCACCCACCAGACTTCACATAATGACGCAGGCAACCACACTGGTTAGTATGATTGTCCCATTCTCCCATTAGAATGAGGATTCTGGCCCAGCCAGCCCCCTGGACAGCACTTTCTACCGCTCACTGTTGGAAGAAGATGACATGGGCGATTTGGTGGATGCAGAAGAGTACCTGGTGCCCCAGCAAGGCTTCTTCTGCCCTGACCCTCCCCTGGCTCCAGGTCCTGGGGGTACTGCCCACCGAAGACACAGAAGTTCTTCTACAAGGGTAAGGGTAGGGGCAATATCTATTGGGAAGGGAACCCCAGCCTGTTCCCAGGCCACACTCCCATCTTGTGCCTCCAGCCAAGAATGACTCCTTCATTCACACCCTCATAATCATCTCCTATTCTTGCCCCCAGAGTGGTGGGGAGCCTCCAGGAGGACTAGAAGGCTCAGAAGATGATGCTCCCCAATCTTCAGCAGAGCCTTGGGAAGGGACTGGTTCAGATGTGTTTGATGGGGACCCTGGAGGGAGCCCTAAGGGGCTACAGGGACTCCCCCCTCGAGACCTCAGCCCCCTGCAGCGCTACACTGAGGATCCCACAGGAACACTGCCCCCCTGAGATGGATGGCTACATCGTCCCACCTGCCTGTGGCCCCCTGCCAGGTATGAACACCCTGACCTGGGAGCTAAAATTCTGAGCCTTCTTCTTTAAGTGTTTGAGCTAGGGAGGGAGGAAGGGAAATCAAGGTCTAAGTTCTCCCCTCAAAAGGAAGATTCTCTTTCTGGTAGGAATGTATGGTTCAATTTCCCTGACACCCAGGATCTTTTTTTCTCCAACATTTCAGAATACGTGAACCAGCCAGAGGTGCATCTACCACCCCCTTCACCCCTGGAGGGGACCCTGACTCCCCCTCACCCATCCAGCTCCACCCTGGAACGCCCCAAGTTGCCTCCTCCAGGGAAGAATGGAGTGGTAAAAGACACATTTACCTTTGGTGCAGCTGTGGAGAACCCCGAGTACTTGGCCCCCCACGGACGGGGTCCCCTTCATCTTTCCCCGACTGCCTTCAGCCCAGCCTTTGACAACCTTTACTACTGGGACCAGGATCCTCCTGATCGAGGGGCTGCCCCTAATGGCTTTGCAGGGACCCCCACAGCTGAGAACCCTGAGTACTTGGGTTTGGATATGACTGTGTGATCTCTGGAAGGCCCAGATGCTGAGATCCCCTGAAACTCTACGCTGCACTTAATCATGTTGGAATGGGGGAAAAAAAAAAGACTGTTCTTGAATGCCCTTCAGACTCCACATCTGGCCAGAGGGGGACTGCCTGATAACAGACTGAGGAACCTGGGCTGCTACCATCATGTTGCCTCTTCCCTTCCCTTCCCTTCCTGGCAGCTCTAAGGTCCCCAGCCTCTTGCTGGGGGTATATTTATTGGTTTCTGAGCTCCAGATGCCTAGACTGGAATCTTGGTTTGGAACGTCACTGCAATTCAGGTGTACGTGGTCAGCTTTCTCCCCTGGACATGTGCCCCAGGCTAATTCTCCTGCTCTTCCCTCTCCTGGCTTCCCCAGCTAGGGTTCTCACTGCAAGGGACACCAGAGATGTCCAAAGGGAGATGGAAAGAGGACACACCCTCAAAGATAACATACCTTCTCATCTTCAGAGACTGAGCACCTGACTTGTTTCTACTCCAGACAGACAACAGAGACAGAGTTGGCAATGGGGGTCGGGGAAGGACCACCAGATCCCTGAACCTTTGTATATTTGTTTCCTTTGAATTTGTTTTTTTAAACTTTTTTTTTTAATGATGAGAAGAGTGTATAGAAGAGATGCACCACCTTCTCTGCAAATATATTTTGGAAAACAGCTGGGCTCCTGGCCTATGTCTGGGGATCTCTCTGCACCTTTCACCCACCTTGTCCTCATAGCTTACATGCATCACTCTGGCCTTATCCTAGGGGGCTAGAGCTGGGAGGCAAGGCCCTGACAAGAACTGGGTGTATCCTGGCCCCATGACGGGTGGTGGTGGTGAGCAACGGGGTCTAAAACCTCTTCTCCAAGATGAATCCTGGGGATGCCAGGTTATGTTTAAGTGAAGCAAGCTGGATTTAATTTAGATGTGAGGGACAGCAGAATGGCTTAATGAACAGAGGGCCTTAGAGTCAGGAAAACCTGCCATTCGAGTGGCACTCCTGACACATACGAGCTATGTCACCTTGGGCTGTAAACTCTCAAGTGCTTCAGGTAATTCTCTGAGACTATAAATTAGAGTCAAGTTGCTAAACAGCAAAGGTGGAGGAAGTTTCCACATGGGAGTTCCCTATGCTGATGAAATCACAGGCTTGGACCAATAAATACATAAACAAATAGAAACAGTACTACTGAAGCTCCAGAATGGAAGTTCCTTCTCTGGAGGTCTCCAAGCATAGGAGAACTTTGTGAACTTGGGGGAAGGGCCACCAGATATGATGGGAAGGAAACCAACTGACCTCTGCCCAAGTCTCTGTTTCTGGATAAGGATTCCAAACCCCTGGTAGAAAGGGGGGGGTGTCTATGTGTTTTTGGGTGGGACCAAGTGAGCATGTTTGTGTGTTGGGGAGGGACTGAGACAGGAAAGGACAGATAGTTAAGCTCAGCTTTCTGGGCACTGATTTTCCCCTCCTCCTTCCCTCCCTTCTTTCCTTCCTTTTCCTTTCTGTTCCTTCCAGATGATTATCTTCCTAAGCTGAGAAGACACCTCAAGCTGGGTATACCACAGAAGGGAAAAAGTAGCAGCGTCACTTTATTGCCAACAATTGGTGTTTCCCCTAGAGTAAGGGGATGTGTTGTTTGTGTGTGGGAAATAAATCAAAAGTTTGGTGGCATCTCATTGGCACTGCCAGGCAATGGAGGGTACAGGCATCTTTGAGGTACTCTGTGTGTGTGTGTGTGTGTGTGTGTGTACACATGCATTTGTAGACGTGAAGTTTCTATGAAACACTGGGAGTCGGGGTGCTAGTGATGGGGGGGCATTTCTCCCCCCTACTCTGAGCTTGGGTTGAACCGTCCCCTCTCTAGGGAGGTGGCAGCCAGGCTCGTACCTGGAATCTCTGAAGCTCTTGCCCTCTGGCTTCACCAAGAAGTGGCTGGGAGGCTGGGATCTCTCAGCGCAGAGGGGGTGGGGGGAGAGAGGTGATAAGACCAAGAGTGTTGTTGGGGATGAACCGATGCTTGGTCAGTGGGACGGGCTCTCTCATCCTAATCTCCAACGAGGAAGGATTTTGCTAAAATGGAGAGGACCCCAATACGGGAGGGGCACCCAGGACAAAGGGGTATAGGGAAGAAGCCCTGGCCCAAGAGGGAAGTAGAAACCTTGCAGGGTCACAGGATGACACAGGGGGGCCGGCTATTGGTGATCTTTTGCAGAGGTTCTCCACTACTGGCTCTTCGGATAGCCTCAATGAGCTGAGGGAAGAGAAGGGGAGATTTGTGAGAGGGTATGGAATGAGTCACTCCTAGTGTCCCCTTATCCCCATCCCTGTGCTACTCACATCCTTTTCATAGGGAAATCCTCCGTTCTCCAGCTTGGAAAAGACCAACTGCCCATTGATCTCAATCTCAAAAGCTCCTGGTGGGAAGAAAGGGGGTATAGTCTGAGGGGTCAGAGATCAGGAGTGAGGAGAGACCCCGGGACCACACAACCACATTCCACAGACACCTTGGGCTCCTAATGTGTCTTGGCACCCCACCCTTGGCTTCTTTCCTCTGAGTCACCTACTTACTAAAATCAGCCTAACTCCAGGAAAAGACTTGGGCAGAAGGGTCTTGTAGTCTATACAGAGGGAGCAACTAGGGAGCCCAGGTCTCCTCCCTATGCCTTCTACTTGTCACTAGATCTGGGTTCAAGTCCCACACTTGCTACTTATTAGATACACTAGCCTTCTGCTTGTTCCAGGACGAAGACACTCCATCTCTTGGCTCTAGGTATCTTCTCTGGCAGTCCCCCATGCCTGGAATGCTCTCCCTCCTCCGCTCCAACTACTGACCTCCCTGGCTTCCTTTTAGTCCCAACTAAAATCCCACCTTCTACAGGAAGCATTCCCCAACCCCAATTCCAGGGCCTTCTGATTTATCCTGTATATAGCTTGACTGTATATATTTGCTTGCATGTTGTCTCTCCCATTGGATTGTAAGGTCCTTAAGGGAAGGGACTGTCTTTTGTCCCACTATATCCCCAGCACTTAGCACAGTGCCTGGCACATAGTAAGCACTTAATAAATGTTTATTGAATTGAATCAGATGTATGCCTGGGAAAGATGCTTTTACTGGAAGAAGCTGGAAGGGACTTTGAAGCTCAATGTCCAATCTCTTCATTTCTAGAGAGGGTCCAAACAGCCTCAAAGAGGTGAAATGATTTGTCCAAGGTCACAAAGTAGGGGTGGCCAGATATGAACTAAGGTCTCCAGTGGATGCTAATGACCTTTTCATTATTCTGCATTGTTCTCTATAATCACTTAATCTCTGAATCTTTATTTTCCTCATCTGTACAATGGGGTTCAAAATCTATCTCTCACAGGAGCTCTGTTGGGGAATCAAAGGAAGTGATGCCTATGAAAGCACCATAGTAGCTCCCAATGTCCACCTGCTAAGTGGCACAGGATTTCTGATGGGAAATAGGACTCAAAGGACAAAACTGAGGATTTTGGATTTTTTGTTGTTTTGGATTTGTCCTTCAGAACAGGGGCCTAGATTCCTTTGTGCCTTACCTCTGGCAAGGGCTTTGTAAAAGCTGGATGGATTGGCTGGGATTGAGACCCCCTCTCTCCTAGCACATCATCTCCCTGAGTGGGGGAGGGCAGCCCCAAGTCCTGTCCTTGCCTCTACTCCACTGTCTCCCATCCCCACAGTCCCAAGGGACCTCTTCCATGCCTCCTCCCCTCAATGCTCCTCACCAGTGCCCCCAAGGCGTGACTCAATCTGGATACCAGGGTACTCTTCCTTCACAGCGCTGGCCAGCTCCAGGTAGGTGGACTCAAATCCACAGGGTTCACTGCAGGAGCAAGAGTTTGGGAGTTTTTGTTTTTGTTTTTTAGGAAAGGAGAGACAAGAAGGGAAAGGAAGATAAAGGGAAGATAAGGGACACAAAGGAGATACGAAGAGAAAAGAGATGAAGGGAAGGGAGGAGAGGAGAAGAGAGAAGAGATGAGGGGAGAAGAGATAAAGGGAAAGGAGGGGAGAAGGAGAGAAGGGGGAAGGAAAAGGTGATGAGAGGGGAAATAAAAGGAGGGGAGGGAGGGAAGGAGAGTGGTAGGATAAAGGGAGGAAAGTGGATAAAGAGGATAGGAGAGATGATGAAAAGAGAGAAAGAGAAGAGGGATCAAGGGAGAGGAGAGGGATGAATGGAGGGGAGGAATGAGGGAGGGGATGAAGAGAGAAGAGGGGAGGGATAAAGAGAAAAGAGAGAAAGAGGAAGACATAAGGGGAGAAGAGGAGTGAATAAAGAGGAGGGATGAGGAAAAGGATGGTGGAAGAAGAGAGGAGAGATGAGGTAGATAAAGGAAAGGGAAATGAAGGGAAGAGAGAGAGGGAAGGGGAAGGGGAAAAGAGGGGGAGTAGGGGGAAGGAGAGGGAGAAGGAATAGGAGAGGGAAAGGGGGAGGAGTAGAGGGAGGAAAAGCTGGAGGAAGAGGAGAGAAGAGGGATGAATGGAGAGGAGGGATGAGGGGAAAGATGTTGGGAGAAGAGGGGAGGGATGATGTAGATAATGGAAAGGGAAATGAAGGGGAAAAGGGAGAGGAAGAAGGGGAAGGGGAAAAGAAGAGGGGGAGGAGGGGGGAGGAGAAGGAGGAGGAGTGGGGGAGGGAGAGGGTAGAAGAGGAGGGCAGAGGCAGGAGGAGGAGGGTCCCCCCTCGCGCCCCCCTCACCAGTACTCCACCACGATGCGGACCCCACTGCCGGGCAGGGGAGCCCCGGGAGGGGACTCTCCGACGTCGGCCGCGGGCTCCCCGCTCATGGCTCCGCCACGCTCTGCCGCACTCCCGCACCGGACCGAGCCCAGCCAGGCAGGCACGCCAACCAGCTGAACCTGAGCCCGCAGACCCGCCGCCGCTTCCGGGTGTGACGTAGCGCCGGGTCACGTCACGCGCGGCCTGTCCGGAGGCGGGGCCATCGTGGGGGCGGGGCCCGTCCGGAGGCGGGTCAGATCGGGGGCGGGGCTAGACAAGGGCAGGGCCCGGCTTGTCCTCCGAATGGCTGGCGGGGATGCAGCGCCCTCTGCTGCGGGGAGCCGGTACTTGGAGTGTCCCTGGATCTAGGTCTGGGTCTTTAACTTTCCTTTCCCAGCCTGAAGTCCTGAAACCCTCCTCCTTTCACTGTCGGCGCCCACCACAAGCCCTGGACTTTCCTCTTGCCGTGCCTTTGCTCACGCTGTTCTCTATAACTAAATCATGCTCCATGACCCTCCTCTGTTGAATTTCTGCCCATGCTTTATGTTTTTTCCAAAGCAAAGGCAGTGAATGGAATTAATACTAAGAAAAGTAGCAACAGCATTTATACGAGATTTAAAGTGCTCTACAAACATCTCATTTAAGACTTATGGTAACAACTCTGGGAGGTTGGTAGCCCCATTTTACAGATAAGGAAACTGAGGCAGGCAGAGGTTGGGACTTGCCTTGGGTCACACAGCTAGTAAGTGCCTGAGATCAGATTTGAACTTAGGTCTTTCTGACTCCAGGTATCCATCCCACAACCTAATTCTCTCTAAAAGTAGCAACAAAACATTCTCCCATAAGCATGGCCACACTCTCTCACAAATTATGCCCAGCATCAGTGTCTACCCATGTTTTAAAGGAATAGGAGGTTGGACTTGTGATTTATACAGGTGCAGGCAATACCCAGGTAAGCAAACTCTTTTTTTTTTAGGCAATTGGGGTTAAGTGACTTGCCCAGGGTCATGCAGCTAGTAAGTGTCAAGTGTCAAGTTTGGTCTGAGGCCGAATTTGAACTCAGGTACTCTTGACTTCGGGGGCTGGTGCTCTATCCACTGCACCATCTAGTTGCCCCTGAGCAAATTCCTTCTACCAGTGCAGGTTGACACCTCTTTGACCTGTGTCTTAAATTAAGTGATTTGGGGGCAGCTAGGTGATACAGTGGATAGAGCACCGGCCCTGGAGTCAGGAGGAGCTGAGCTCAAATCCAGCCTCAGGCACTTGACATTTACTAGCTGTGTGACCCTGGGCAAGTCACTTAACCCCATGGCCTAGCAAAAAAAACAAACAAAAAAAGATTAAGTGATTTGCGGAGGGTCACACAGCCAGTATGGAGGAAGGCCTTGAGTATAGGTCTTCTGTCTTCAAGGCTAGCTGCTTATCCTGTAAGTCAAGCTATGGCTCTCCATGCTTTAAAGCCCAAATCTCCTCCATAAAGCCTTCCCTGCTTCATTCTAAGCATCTCCTTTAGACCTCACATAGCCCTTTGTTCTGTGCTTCTCTGATGTTCTCATTGCAAACTTATATTACAGTTGTTGAAGTTTGTCTCATTCCATTTTTAGCCAATGTTCCAGGAGAGCAGGGACTGAGTCTTATCTAAACTTTGTTTCTTTCTGTGTCTACCAAAATACTTTGTACAAAGTAGGAACTTAATAACTTCTTGTTGAATTGAAGGGTGACCTTGGGAAAGCATCTTAATCTTTCTGGGACTCAGTTTCCTCTTCTGTAAAATGAAGGAGTTGGACCAGTTTCCTCAGGTCTGGAGTTTTATGGTTCTCTGATCTTGTGAGTTGAACTCATGTGTGTGTGTGTGTGTGTGTGTGTGTGTGTAATCCATCCTGGATTCCTCCATTTACAGAAACAGTTTCCAATTCTCTCTCATTTGAACCTTAGAGGGTGCCAGGCCTCCCAGCTCTCTATATCAAGATTTCCCTGGTGCTCTGTGCTGTTGTTTTTCTCCTAAGCATCATGCTCAAATTGCACAGTTTAAAGAACAAGCAGTTACACTGCTGGAAAAAACAAATTCAACAAACATTTATTAAGGAGGTGGCATGCTATGGTGGAAAGAGCCCAGGAACTAGAGGCAGAGGACCTTGGTTCGAATTCTACTGCTGATGCTTTCTGCCTCCTTGGGCAAGTTACTAAACTTCCATGGGCCTCAGTTTCCTCATTGGTAAAATGAGGGGATTGGACTAAGTGGCCCCCTTCTAGCCCTAGACCTATGCTCCAAAGACACTTCTTGCTTTATGCCCGAGCAGCACAAATACCAAGAAAAGGCAGGCACTGCCCCTGTCTGCAGGGAACTGACAGTATAGAAGGGGAGAGAAGTTACTTAATTGAAAACACACACACACACACACACACAGGAAAAGAAAACAATGCATTTCCTTATCTGCAAAATGGGGATAATGTAGGCCTCCAAAGTGCCTACATCACAGGATTTGTTTTGAAGATCAAAGTAGATAATGAAAAGCACTTTGAAAAATTTAAAATGCCTTAGCAACGTCAGCAGTGATGATGATGATATGCAATAATTATTACTGATATGGTAGCATTGTTCAGACAGGGCATCAGCGGCCTTCAGAGGGTCTAAGAGCCACAGGGTGGCTAGTATTAGGAGGATGGTAAAGGCTAGGTTTCTTTCACAAGTCACAGTGGGGGCCACTGATTCCCTCTCTCCTTGTAATGACTCTCATTCCATTTGTAATGACGGAAGGAAAATTCAGATGAGCCCTGCTAAGAAAAAGTAGGGGTGGAGTGGATGGGAAATCAGAATTACCAGATAGCCAGCTCTAAGTGCCTTAGTCACGACAGTGTTTTCATTTTGTAGCAAGCACCTAGTAGGTGCTGAATTAATGCATGTTGAGCTGGATGAGGGAAATTCTGAGGGCTACTTGAATATAAATTATGTTGGGTCATAGATTTAGAGATGAAAGGGACCTCAGAAACTATCTAGTCTCCCCCATTTTTGTTGTAAGCACATAGTAGGCACTGAATTAATATTTGTTGAGTTGGATGAGGGGGATTCTGGAGGCTAATTGGATACGCACATGTCAGATCATCGATTTAGAGATGAAAAGGACCTCTGAGGCTATTTAATCCAATTCCTCCATTTTATAGATAAGGAAAGTGAGGGTCAGATGAAGTGACTTGCCCAAGTCAATTAGCCAGTAAGTAGCACAGGCAGGATTTGAACCCTGAGCCCTCTGACTCCAAATACATTGCTTTTTCCATTTTAAACACATTGCCTCCTAAGGAGCTTATTCTTGTAAACACTTGGCTGGCAGAATCAGCATTGGTTGCATTTCCCAGATCTTGGGAAGCTCACTTCACCTGGCCCAACAATTATCATTATTACCTTCCCTTCCCACACTGGGCAATGACTCCAATTGTCATACTCTAGAGATGGCTTCTGGTATCATACCTAACTCACTTAAAAGATCCTCCCCAGGGAGGCAGATGGAGCTATTGGGGGCCAGCATCCATTTTAATAGAATGTCAGAGATAGAAGGGGCCTTTGGGATCACCAAGTCTAACAAGGGAATTGAGGGACCTGGATCCTGTGATTTCCGGCCACAGCTGGGAGTAGAATCAGGGGCTCTGAGGAAGGAGAAAAAAAATGCATTTATGAAGCACATCTGTGCCAGGCATTGTGCTAAGCACTTCACAAATTTTATTTCATTTGATCTTCACAACTCTTCGAGGTGGATGCTGTTATTACCCTCATTTTAAAGCTGAGGCAGACAGAGGTTAAATGACTTGCCTGTGGTCACAATGTTATAGGCTAGACTTGAACTTAGTGCTTCCTGACTCTGGGCCCGGTGCCCTATTCACTGCACCAGGAAGAGCCAAGGTGTCCTAGATGGCTCTGGAAAGTCAAAGTGGGGATCAAGGGCTGAATAGGCCAAGAGGGTCAGTCACCTCCTGGATGTGAAACCACTTTCAGAATCTGCCCTCTGCCCCCAGGGGTGGGGATGGTGGAGGGTGGCACCCATGTCCTAGACCATGCCCCTTGTTGGCTGGTTGGCTGTTTAGGGGGAGGGGGAGGAACTGCATGCTCCTTCCCTCCCCCCTCTTCCTGGGAGCCGAAACCTTAGGTGTCCCCTCTAGTGTGAGTGGGAGCGGCTTGCTGCACTGGACACCTGGGCCCCTTCCCTCTTCCCTCCCCCAACCTCCTGCGACACCTAGGTCCCAAAGGCCTGGATTAGAATAGCACAAACACTCCCCACCCTAGTGGCCAGAGGAGTATTCTCTTGTTTTCTCCTCCCTCCTTCCTCCTGGCCCCGCCTCCACCTTTCCAATCCCAGTCACTTTACCGCCTTTCCAGCCTTTCCTCCCGGTTCTACCACCTCTCTACTCCCCCCTTCCCCTACTAGCACATTTTCTGGAAAGAGAAACTCAGGAATCTGACCCTGGTGTCCTGGACCCTCAGCTGTCATCAGACAGAGTCGGACATTGGACCCCTGGCATTTGGGCCTCTTATACTGGGGCTTCCCAGGTAGGAAGACAAATATCTATCGAAGATAACAACCTCTACTCACCCTTATCCCTAGTATCTTTGTACCTGTTGTCTGTGCCAGGGCCCCTTGCAGGTGGGCATGATGTCTAGTGGGCAGTGTCGTAACTCCAGCCCCGTTCCCAGGATGGCAGGTAGGGATGAGGAACCTATGAAGGCTGGAGGGCTAAGGACCCCGCAAAAGGTACTGGGATGGAGGTGGGTGGAGGGGAGATACAGGTGGTTAAGGGCAAGGTACATCCCTTCCCCAACGGATGGCCCCAGACAGGTGTGTACTACCAACACCCAGGGTCCAGGTAAGGGCTAAGCCCGGCACCCTTTTCTGTCTCCTCCTGTGACATACCTGGGACCTGGGGGCGCCCTACTGCCCAGCTCCTTCCTTCTTTGTTTTTGTCCTGCCCATGGCTTCTTCTCTCACCTGTTTCACCTCTCTCTCCGTGCCCTCCCTTTGGACCCACTGTGACTCCTTCATCTCTAAAGATTTCTTCTGTTTCTTTGTGGGGAAAATATTTGCTAGCATTTTGTCAGCTGGAGGGTGGCGGTAATAGGGAATATTTTCTCATTTGGGTGATTTCTGCTTCCCCTGGACAGCCTTCCCCTTTCCTTTCCTAAAAGGGAGATGGGGGTGGAG